GAAGTGTTTTTGTTTTTGGTGGAACCGGGAATTGAACTCCGGCCCTTCCACATGCCAGGCAAGCGCTTATTCTACTGAGCCATCTCCCTGGCCCCTCACTGGGAACTTTTTAATGAGAAAAATCGAAGGAAAATCCGTGAGTAGGACCACATTTCCTATCGTGGTATTTGTGCTGCTGAAGTGCGCATTTATAGTGGCAAACTAAAAGCGTGCCCAGGCTCCAAGGGATTTGCCCAGGTCTTCAGTGGCACAATGACTGCTTCCTTCCCTCCTACGGAGTCTGAACCTGCGCACAGCGACGGCCCAATACGACCCGAGGCTCGCAGCCGCCAAAGCCTTCTCGGCCCTCAGCTCTCCCGAGGGCTGCGAGCGCTTCTCGACGCGCAGGTGCACCGGCAGCGACCGCCCGAGACACCCGCGGACGGGGACACCCGCGGCGTGTGCCCGAGAGCCAGGCGGACTGCACCTGTCTCTCACCTGTAGTACACGGCCAGGTGTCCTTCCTCGATCTTGTGGATGGACGCGTAGAGAAGGACAACGACCAGCCCCACCACGGCGGCCACCAGAACCCGGGCTTGAGTCATGTTCATCCTCGTTCCTCCTGGCTGAGGGAGGAAAGGACCCTCAGTTCCCGGGAGCGACAAGCCCGCCCGTCGACTTGCACCAACTTCCACCGTCTCCCTCCCCAGGACCCGGAGCCTTCTCTCACAGGCCGCGCCGGGGAATCCTGCCCTCTCCTCCCCGTACTCTTCCCGGGGCAGAGCCTGCGTTCCCCTCGCCAGCCCTCCGCGCGGCCGGTCCATGCCCGCAAGGTAAGCGTCGGGATACTCTCTGTCCAACCGTTCCTACCCGGATAGAAGCCACTGAGGACAGGCTCAGCCACTGGCACCGGAGGGAGGCAGACCCCTCCGCCACACCTCACCGATCAGTGACGCATCGCCTCCGCCCGCCGCACGTGCAGCCGCCTCTCCGGCCTGGCCGCTCCAACAGCCCCTAGCCGTCGGCCCCGCCCATTCGCCCAGCACTGCGGCTGCGCGCGCTTAGACGGACGCGCACAGACGCAGCGTGCCCCTCCCGACCGCGCGACGGGGTGCAGGCGGGACAAAATTCTCCCAGGCACACATCGCGCGCACGATTTAGGGCATGCTTCTTTGGGGCGCTTTATTTGTTCCTTGGGGAGGAGCAAAGTAAGAAAGGAGGGAGAGGAAAAAGAGAGAGAGCCGGTTGGACAGGGGACTAATCAATTTGTTCTTGAACAAAAAACCCACTCCTTCAATCAGTGTGGTAGCTACTCCTTTTATTTATCCTCGTGAGGCTTATACTGAACTTTTATCGTGCGATAAGTGTGTATGCTTCAGGCAGAGCCTGTAATTCAGGAGCAACCAGATTTGTTGCAAAGAAAAGTGGTATGGAAGTTCAGAAGACAAAGCTATTCAATCCAACTGCGTCAATGTTCACTTTTTTTTTCTCGAGTATTATATGTCAGAATTCTGATCCAAGAGGGTTTATGAAGGTCCTCCAGAAAAATAGAAACAGAATGAGCTAGCCATATGAGGAGTGTGTGTGAGTGTGTGTGTGTGTGTGTGTGTGTGTGTGTGTGTGGTGTACTGTTCCCCAAAGGATCAGTAAACTGAGTTTCCCCAAAGTCTTTTGCAGTGCAAAGGAGTGGTTAATGGACTAGGGCCAGAGTTAGAGAAAATCAGTGTCTTGTTTTACTAGTAGGTGAACTGAAAAGTAGAGGACGTAAGAAAAGATTTTTCACTTCAATTGTTCGGTTCTTTAAAAACTGTATTAGTCACTTTTCCATCTCTGGGAAAAAAATACCTAACACTTGCAACTTAAAAGAGATGTACAGGGTTTTGAGTTTTAGTCCATTGTTGACTGGTTGGTTCCAAAGGAGAAAGGACATGGCAAGAGAGGATACTGCAGAGGAAAGCTGCTCAACCCACAGCAGCTAGGAGGCTGAAAGCAAGATCGCTAGAGCGAGTTATACCCTCCGGGGTCAGGAATAAAGCTCAGCAGCACAAGTGCCTGCCTAGCCAGTGCAGGGTCCTGAGTTCAATTCCTTGTACCAACCCCTCCCAAAGGTACACTGTCCCTCTTGACCCACCGGTGACTGGAACCTACTTCCTAATAGCCATTCAGCTATGAACTCATTAATGGATGAGGTTAGCAAGCTCATGATCCACTCATTCTGAAAGCCCCACTTCTGAACATGAGACTTTTGGAGCACATTTTAGATCTAAACCATAACAAAAATTCTGCACCATGTGCATGTATTACCAAAAATAAAAGAGAACAGGGTACAAGTCAGAGATGGATTAATACAAGGGAAACAAGGCCGTATTTGAGCAAGCTGGACAGAAATGGTGTAAGCCTTGGAAGGGAGTAGTGGTGAGACTACAACTTCACAAAGCGGATGACTGTTGGAAGGTCTTCTAATCTCTTGAGCAGTGAAATACAAGAAAACAGTGCTTTAGGACCAGTGAATATGCAACATCGCTGAGAGTGGAGACAGAGTGGCTACAGCCTAGGAAGTCAAGTGGTTAGGTAAGTACAAGCTCCAGGTTATAATGAGAGGAGCAGTGGAGATGAGAAGACACAAAGAGAATCCATTTAAATCTTCCTTAAAGCAAATCTTGCCATACCACTTTAGGACTCCCTTCAATAAATGTACTTACTTATATCATTTGGTTTTATTACTTAGGATTGTCTGGGATTATCTGTTCTAGGTAAACATTTTCAGAGCTTAGCTATTTTAACTTCCAAAACTAAACTAAAAAACAATGAAGAGTAATTTGCTAGTCACTGTGTTTTCTGGATATACGCTCTATGTATGTCACAATAATACTTGGATTGAGGAAATAAATGTAGCATACAATTCACAACTTCAACTCTGAAAAGCTGTTACTCGACAAAAAATGAGTGGTGAACTCATACATCAGAAACTGATCTCACTGTTAACAGTCTGTACTGACTCATATTTCTTGTCCAAATCATGACATCACCTCAACCAAACATCATCAAAATGGACCCCACAATGTAGCAAAATTCTTATCAATTATTACGATAGTCAGAAAATACATGACTAACTCCCCCAAATCCTTGAACAACAATTATAATACTTACATAGCCTGCAATGTTCGTTGAGACTACCAGGCTACCCTTTTATTATACTGCCTGTATTGTTTCTCATCTTGCCGTCTAGGTTAGCATCTCCTAAACAATTGGTGACAATAAATGCTTACCTTTAAAACCTCGACAGCTGCAGAAGTATCTGAGTGGAAGGCATCTGCCTAGTGTACATGATGCTCCAGATTCAATCTCCAGCAGTACAAATAAAAACTTTTACAACTAGGGAAGCAAAAGATAGACTGCTTTCTTTAGAGAAAGAGTGATACCTGATGATTAAGATAAGCTATTCCAAGGTTTTAAACTTTGATGACTGGAAAAATGGTATCTCTAGAAAAACAAGGCTGGTGGGATGATGGCATCAGTTTATAGGGCAAGATCTGAACTATTTGAACATGGTTTTTACATATCAATAGTGGAGATAAGACATCTCAATAGATAATACAAAGATGACCAATACTTACTTATGCATAGTCCTCTTTATTTTCTAAAGAACATTCAGGGATGCCAGACATAGTGGCATGTGTCTACAATCCCAGAACTCTGAGAAGCTAAGGCTGGAAGATCACCAAGTTTGAGCCCAGCTAGGGGAACTAGTTAGACCCTATCTGAAAACTGGAAGACAAAACCAAAAAAACCCAAAAACCAAAACCAAAAAAACCAAAGCATCTTAGTACATCAGTGCTAAGGCCTTGGGTTCAGTCTTCAATACTATGAAAAATCATCACCACAATAATAAAGCCAGGGAAAACCTATTATGTTCTTTTGTGCTCTGGTTCTACTTCATGAACTTTCAAATTGCCCTAAGCCATACTGAATACTGTTCTATTAGAATCTGGTTTTTATAATGAATAAAGATTCAAAGTGTAATTTAAAAATCATTTAATACATAAAGTGAAAAACCATCTACAATATAAAAGCATTTCACATTTTTTAGACAAATAATATCTTCTAAATTATTTAACAAACCATAAGAGATCCACAGTGTGTTATCTGAAAGTTTGGAGCCAGAAGTTTTAGAATTATGAAATATTCAGATTTTTAAAAAGGTAATTTGGTGCATATACCATGCTAAATTAGCTCGTAGAAAAATGTGGTAGCACCCCCTCCCCAGTAATCAAACATGTTAATATTTCTGCAGCAAAATAAATGAATATTCACACGCAATGGGATAAACAGATTATCAGTTTAGATATATAAGGAAATTAATTTTGCCATCAAGCTTATGAAAACCTTATTTTAGAACTTCTTGGATTTTGAAATTACAATTACAGTTACGGGAATACAGACTTTTATAGGCTTGTATGATAAGACACAAAAATCTAAAATGATCCTTTTTTACAAATGAAAAAACACATAAGCTTTCAAATGCATTATAAATTAACAGACATCTTTTTCTTTGATATTATTAAATGTACATCTTATATACACATATATAGCACACATGATTTATGACAATCAACTAGTATTGAAGGCACAAGTGCATAATCCCTTCTGTAAGAAGGGGACATTATTAAATGTTCTGTAAAAATAAAATGGAATTACACGAACTCCTTATGATGCCAGGAAGAGCCCTTGCTGAGTGCAACACAAGGAGGTAGGACTTGTTCTTCAAGAAATACAATTTTACTTATGAGAAGTCTCTTCCATAAAAACACAGATAGGCAACATTTACTCAAAATGCATATTAAATGAGGTTCCCCCCCCCATATCCAATACTATGGCGGGCTTTATGCCTAAAAGTTAAAACTTGAGAAGGTATTTTAAGTCAGGTACATAAGTAATGTTTTACCAAGTTTGAAAACATATGGGCCACAATGATGTTCTTAAGTAGTTTCACTATTAAAATAAATATTTAAAGAAGTCCACTGACTTTTCATAAAATCCTGTTTGAGGGTTAAAATTACTCAAAGTCAAGAGTAAAGCCACGTGTAGTTTCTGAGTATAGCCATTTCTTCTGCTGACTGGTATGTGAAGAATGGTTTCATGGAGGAAAAACAAATTTCCAACATTGGCAGCAACAAATTCCACAGGTTTGAGGACAGTGAACAAGTGGCAAGTCATTCAGTTAACCAACTCCAATCAAGATTCTAAAACCAGGCATGAAAAAGTCACAATTAGAAATTGACTATAAGTAGTAAATAAATGGGTATTCATTTTTGTATGTTTGGACATTTTATATCGAAAGTTGAGCTGGGCATGGTAGCACATACCTTGTAATCCCAGCACTTGAGAAGCTGAGGCAGGGGGAAAGCTGTGATTTTGAGGCCAGTTTGATGTATACAGTGAGTTCAAGGCCAGCCTGAACTACCTAGTGAAATCCTTTCTTACCAAAACAAAATAAAACAAAAACCTAACGTTGAAAAATAAAAAATACACACTTACAATAAGAGAGTCTAGCTCGCTTTATTTTCTCCTAATTTCAAAAAGTACTTCATGGGGGGCTGGGAAGATGGCTCAGTGGAATAAGTGCTTCCCTGGCAAGTGCAAGGGTCTGAGTTCAATTCTAGGTTCCACCAAAAAAAAAAAAAAAGATTCCATTTAAAAAAGTACTTAAAAATTTGCACAGAAATTTGAAGCAAATACTTATTCTTAAGGCAGAAATAGAGTTGACAGAAATTAAATGTAGTATTCACATTTTATTGTAGTTTTTCCTAGTTCTGACAAATCAATAGTTTATAGTAATCACATATTAATATAAACACTTTAAAAAATTAAAAACATTAAGATAATTCATTTATATGAAGCAGTTACTGCATTTGAGTTACTGTGCAAGGTTAAGCTTATTGCAGAAAATTGCTGAAGCAAAATGGTACAAATTACTTAATTCTGGTGCTCATGTTGCAAAGAAAATGTAATCTGACTAAAAATGGAGGGCTAGGGAGATAGCTCAGCCACATAAGCACTTGCCTGGCAAACAAGAGGTCCTGAGTTCAATCCCCAGTACCACCCCCCCCAAAAAAAAAAAGAAAAAGAGAGAAAATTGACTAAAAATGGTACTGTCAATGTCTATTTACAATGTAACTCTAGTACATCCTTGAGTAAGAGAAAACGGGGATCTGAGGTTGAGGACATTTCTTCAAATGCTCTTTCCTCTAAGTACTCTTATTACCTACATGCATCCAAATGCCAAGTAAAGGTAGCACAGAAAGTTAAATCTTTTGCATACAATGAACCTAAAACACTCACCAGAGCCACACTAAACTCACCATCATGCTACTGCCCTGTTCCTCATTTGCTTCACGAATAATAGTACTTAAACGGCCAAGACAGTTCAAATTTTCTTCTATCATTTGTGCTAAACTCTCCCTGTGGGATAAAAGAACAAAGAATTTTCAAATTCAGCAAAGGAACACATAAATCTCTTCTGCCTTTGGCCTCCTAAATAAGCCTGATTGTTGTCCTTGCGGAAACCCACAACCCAGTGTGGCTACCTCCTGCAGTGTTCAAATTCTTCTTCCCTCCTACCCAGAGGCTGAGTCCCACTTCATCCCACTTCATCCACACTGCTGTCTCTATCTCTAGCAAGTTCACTATAAGATGGGTTATGGTGGTACCACTTGTGATCTTAACTACTTGGACAGCTAAGGCAGAAAGATTACAATGTCAAGGGCAGCCTGGGCGACTGAAGAGAGCTCAGAAGTAGAGCTCTTCTTAGCAAGCACAAGGCTCTACGTTCAATCCAGTATCACAATGGACAAAAAGTCCACTCTAACTTCAATCAAACTTTTCTTTGAAACATAAATAGCACTTAACATACAACATTTTCCCCCTAAAAATGTTAAGAGTGAAAAAGATTCTTGTGGCATGAACAGATGAAAAACTACTCTTGTTTTTAGAGTATTTCCTTTTCCCTACAAATAGAAAAATACCAACATGCTTAATTCACATACAGAAATATAGAGAAGATTGAAAAATACAATCTGTTCTGCGAAGATCAGGAAGAGTGAAAAACTCTGGTTAGAAACAACAACTGACAGCAATGAAAACGACAACAAGCAAGCTGGTTCTTAATAATGACAGAAGAAAACATGTGACAGGGAATTGACTAGAACTATGAACTATCCCTGCAAATTTATTTTTGAAGAAGATCCAAATTCTGGTTTCCACCTTCACACTTTCTCTTTCTGCGTGGCCTCTGTACTCATCATTTACCAACCCTCAATGCCTCCTCTACTAAAGTCAGTCTTGATAACCTAATACTAAGCTAATTCAGCTCTTACTTAACAGATGGAAAAACTTAGGCTAACAGTTTCTAATCCTTGGTAGTTAAGGACTGTGGGTATGTTATAATTGAAAGCAATTTTCTTTTATAATATATTCATACCTGAAAATAAAATATCTATCAGATGTACCTTGGCTAACAACCACAACCTCAATTGGAAATTACCTGTAAGATGTAACATTTGTAACCATCAACATCCCCTAAAACACCTAAATGCATTTACTAAAAGCAAAAGTTAAAAATATATTAAATTCTATTTAATTCTGATAATAGAATATTTCCGTAACACTAAATAATCTGTGCTATACTTGTAGATGTTTTACTTTGGGCCAATCCATAACGATGTCAAGACAGACCCTGAACTTGCTTTCTTTAAAAAAGTCAAATACCTGATATCAGCTTGCCTTCCTGCCATGTGCTTTTTCTCTCATAAATGTAGCGTATAGAATGTGCAATTGCATGACCTCCTGAGCAGTGATGTAACATGGCTGCACTTCTGCAAAACTAATTATGGGCAGAACTTCCAGGAAATGCTGATGCTGTAGAGGTCTCCATGAGTTGTGAGAAAAGTGACAATACACAAGCTAGCAAAGAGCCACTGGCTCTGGATACGGCACATCTTACGCTGAGAAAATAACAGAGATGGATAGTCATTCAGCTTTTAGCAGAAGAGTAGGAACTTATAAAAGAAAACATAGGACTTCAAACTTGAATTATCTGCAAAGTTGATTTAAGGCACTGAAAAAGGACTATTTAAAAAACTATAAAGTTATATAGTAGATCTCAATAATTTAATAAAAGGTCAATCACAGACCCCAAAAAGATAAATGGAAAAAGACAACAAAATTTCTCACAAAGATATAGCAAAGGAAGGAATAAAGTTTGGATAAAAGAAACTGAGACACTAATAACAGGTCTTAGAACTTGGACTAAACTAATAATTATAAGTAACATTTCTTGAATATTACCTATTAAGTATGTTATATACATCATCTAATCAAATTCTCACAGCTGTTCTATAAGAAATTCTCATTTTACAGGTGAGAAAATATAAACATTAAAAATGTCAAGTACATTGCCCAAAATTATTCTGAAGCCAAGACTCATCCCTCTTCCATCACTACATTCTACTGCCTCATTCCTCCACTCTTCTGAAAACACAACTACCTATTGTTTCAAAGGAACCCACCCATCTTGAGGAGTTACCACGCATGACAGAGGATGTTCACGTTCTGCTAAAGTTGGAGGCAGCCATGCTGATGCCTGAGGAGTTACTGCACCTTCTAGACTGGATCCTACAAGGGACCGGGCAGAACTCTGTGTCTGAAAGAAAAAGAAAATCCAAAGATTATAGGTAAGGACCTCTGTTGAGTAAGTTTGCCTTACTCTTAAGATTCACATTTCATCACTACTTTGTTGTACAAAGTATTTCTGTATAAAACTATTCCTACCCTTATACACCATTACACACTATCCTGTCCATGGTTCCTTTTTTCATTGATTGAATGTATTTACCAGTCTAAACCACTTTAGTGAATAAATAGACCCATAGGCCAGCCCACATGTCAGTGAGACCGCCTGTGTGGCCTGCGGATCCTAAATAAACACAGAGTCCAGGCCAAGCGGGTGAGTGGGACCGCCCAGACCTAGAGCACAGGCCCAGTGTGTTAAGTGAGACTGCCCAGACCCAGAGCGCAGACCCGGTGTGTGAGACCACCCGGGGCCACTGGATCCTGAATAGACCCAGAACCCAGCATGTGAGTGTGACCGCCTGGGGCCACCAGATCCTGAACAGACCCGGAGCACAGGCCTGGCATGTGAGTGAGACCTCCTGGGACCCACTTGATCCTCATTTGAACCAGAGTGCAGGCCCA